GTACTCCTGAGACACAAAGACTGAGATGCCACCAATACGCCAAACGCGCATGGTATAGAAGGGGGAAGCGGGCGAGGCGAGAAAGGAAGGGCAGAAAAAGAGAGAATCCCAACCCAAGATTGAAATCCATGGTACTGGACGAAATCTTGAATGTAAAATCACCTGTCCAGTTTTGATAGAGAACACGATTAAGTCCCATGACGCCCAGAGAAGTCGAGTCTAAAGCGAATCTGAAGCGAACCCGACTTAAATTGAACCAAGGATATTGAGTGAAAGAAAACCATACACATTGAGGAGGGCGAGGAGTAGGAGGAGAAGGAGGAGGAGGAGAATGAGGTGGAGATGGAGGAGGGCGAGGAGTAGGAGGAGGAGGAGGCGGAGGAGGAGGAAGACGAGGAGGAGGAGAAGGAGGGGGAGGAGGACAAGGAGGAGGCGGAGGAGGAGGAGGAAGAAGAAGGAGGAGGAAGAGGAGGAGGAAACGACTGCTCGGCGGCGACGGCGGCCACGGCGAGGGGGGCGCCAACGGCCGCGACGGCGACCGCCCGCGGGGGGGGCGCCCCCTCCTCGGCCCGCTGCCCCTCTTTTCCTATCCCTCTTCTTCTTCTTCTTCCGCCTCCGCCTCCTTCTCCTCCTCCTCCTCCTCCTCGCCGTCGCCATTTTGGCTCAAAATCGACTGGCTCAAAAGCCAACTCAAATCCATCGTGGCTCACGCGTTCCGCCACGATTGATATAACATGATAGCATGTGCGTGTTTCAACATTGTCAGTTGTTTTTCAACATGATTTTCGTTTTTCATGATGGTTTTCGCTTTTCAATCGTGAAATTGTTGTTTCTCTTAAATAAAATTAATTTGGTTTTTGTTTAACGAAAAAGAGCATCTGGGTGAGTCACCGCGCCACTCAGTCCGAACCCAAACGTCAGCCGCAGGACGGAGGGGGGGGGCCACTCCGCCTGCAGCGCGCAGGTTCTCCGGTAGGGCGCAGCCGACAGCCGCAGAAATATTGGGATTGCCCCGGTAGGGCGCAGCTAGCAGCTGCGGAAAGATGGGGGAAGGGTTCGCCTGAGACATATTGCTGCGCTGGCGCTGGGCAGCCTGAGTCGCCACGCTGTCCAATGCGAATCCAAACGTCAGCCGCAGGACGGAGGGAGGTCACTCCGCCTGCAGTGTACCGGTTCTCTGGCAGGGCGCAGCTGAGAGCCGCAGACAGATTGGAATTCGATCCGCTTGCATCGCCTGAGACATACTGGGAAAAGAGGGTTGTATCGTCTGAGACATCCCAGTGCTCTGGTAAAAACCGCTTTCGCCTGAGACATGCCGGCGACCTGCCTGGGAGCGGCAACCGGGGGGGGCGCCGAGAGCCGCCCCGAAAAACTGGAAGCCAAGATGGGGGGATATGGAATTTTGATACTGGCCACGCCCAATATGGTCGACGTGCTGCTGATGCCACTCGCACTGGCCGTCGAAGACAACGCCCCGGACGACGTGTTGCGGAAAGAACTGCCGAACCGTCACCGTCGCGCCACTGCTCTCATTGTGCTGGCCGGACGGGGCTGCTCGACTGCGTCGCGCACGAAGTCGCGCTGCTCGACGTTGCGCTGTCCGGCTCGACAACGCCCGTGCTGAAGCACGACGCCGACGTGGAGCTCGCCGTGGAGGCGGCCGTGGGCCTTGCACTGTCCAAGACCGTACTGGTCGTGGCCATGCAGCTCGAGGTCGCTCTGTTGGGCATCCGAGACGTACTGTGATACAACGAGCACTGGGAGTCAAGCTGCGGACATGGCAATTGTGCAGCTGACCCCGCTCGAGCTAACCGTCGCAGCGCGCCTCGGTCGCCATGTTACTCGAGACTGCCGCATCCGTCAGCGACGTGCCACTGCCAACCTGTTGGGGCGACGGAGTGCGCTACGACTGTGTTGCGCACGTAACCGTGCTACTCGAGGTTGCGCAGCTCGTTTCGACCCCACACGAGTTGCTGCTGAATAAACACGTGGAGCCCACCGTGGAAGTGACCGCGAGCGCCACTCAGCTCGAAACCGTACTGGTCTCGACCGTGCTGCCCAGGGTCGCACCGCGGTCGCCTGTGACGTACTGCTGGAGAACGGGGCACTGGAAGTCCAGGTGGTGAACTATGCAGTTGCGCAGCTGGCCACGCTCGAGCTGGCCGTCGCGCTGCCGGAGCCGCTCGCGCGCGCCGTCGGAGGAAACACCTCGGTCATCGTAGTGTCGTATGACCCTGACGTGTCCGTCAGCGTCGCGTCGCGGTACACCCAGGTGCTGACCGGCGTGGTGCTGCTCAACAGAGTCGCAATCGAGATCGTGCAGCTCGCAGCTGCGCTGCTCGGCGCGACCACGCTCGCGCGGCTGCTCATGCAACCGTGAAAACGGCCGTGGACGTCGCGCTGCTCGGGGTCGTGCTGGTCGCGACCGTGCTGCGCGAGGTCGCTCTGCTGGTCAGCTGAGGCGTACTGTGAGACAACAGTGCGCTGGGGGTTGAGGTGGTGGACGATGTAGTTGTGTTGCAGGTCGCGCGCGGGCTAGTCGTCGCGCCGCTGGTGCCGCTCGGGTCGGCCGAAGACCCCTGGCGCAGCTCGTGCTCGCCGTCGAGGACTCGTCCCGGCTAGCGTGGTACGAATATGACCTCGTCGTATCCGTCGGCGTCGCGCCACTGCTCACCGTGGCGCTGGCCGGGCGGCGCTGCTCGACTGCGTCGCACTCGAAGTCGTACTGCTCGACGTTGCGCTGCCCACCTCGTCCAACCTCACGCTGCGGCTCGATGGCGACGCGGAGCCCACCGTGGAAGTGGCCGTGGTCGTCCCGCTGGACGAGACCGTACTGGTCGTGACCGTGCAGCTCGAGGTCGCTCTGCTGGTCGTGTGATACGTACTGCCAGACAACAATGCACTGGAGGTCTGGATGCGGACAATGCTGTTGTGTTGCTGGATGCGCTCGAGCACGACGCCGTGCTGCTGGTGCCGCTCGTGCTGGTCATAGCGGAGCGCGTCTCGTTCAGCGTGGGATTGAGTGACCCTGTCGTATCCGTCAGCGTCGTGCCGCTGTGCGCCGTAGTGCTGGCCGTCGTGGTGCTACTCGACTGTGTCGCACTTGAACCCGTACTGTTCGACGTTGCGCTGCACGTCACGACTCCGCTCACGCTGCTGCTGTGTGCCGGCGTGGAGCCGCCGTGGACGTGGCCGTGGACGCCCATGCTCGAGGCCGCGCGGACCGTGACCGCGTTGCTCGATGAGCTGCTGGTCACGCTTGAGTGTTGACCAGCCCAGGCCCGCTGGGCAAGAAGCCTCCGGGCGGGGGGGTGCGCCGCCTGAGACCTGCAGCTCACTGGGGGGCGTTGCATACAGCGGAGGGAAAGGGGGGCGCTCGCGATTGCACCGCATGAGACAGCCTGGTGCTCTAACAGCCGCAAGAGTGTGGAACGCGCAGTCATCCAACAATCAGGCCATCTCCAGGGCCGTGCAAGGGGGGATGCCGCGTGCTCTGGCAGGGCGCAGCTAACAGCCGCAGAAAGATTGGGAGAGGGCTCGCCTGAGACAGATTGCTGCGCTGGCACTGGGCAACCTGAGTCACCGCGCCACTCAGTCCGAATCCAAACGTTAGCCGCAGGACGGAGGGGGGGCCACTCCGCCTGCAGCGTGCAGGTTCTTTGGTAGGGCGCAACTGACAGCCGCAGAAAGATTGGGATTGCTCTGGTAGGGCGCAGCTGACAGCTGCGGAAAGATTGGAATAAAGAATTCGCCTGAGACATGTCGCTGCGCTGGCACTGGGCAACCTGAGTCGCCGCGCTGCCCAATACGAATCCAAACGTCAGCCGCGGGGCGGAGGGGGTCACTCCGCCTGCAGTGCACCGGTTCTCTGGTAGAGTGCAGCTGAGAGCCGCAGACAGATTGGAATTCGATCCGCTTGTATCGCCTGAGACATACTGGGAAAAGGAGTTGCATCGCCTGAGACACCCCCTTTCTTCGGAGCGCGAATGACAGCAGAGCGGAGGGGGGTCGCTTCGCCTGCGGTGTGCAAATTCTCCGGCAGGGTGCTGACGGCTCGCCGACGCCGTCGACACGGGGGCGGAGGCAGACGGCCGCGCTTTCGACGTCACGGGCCCGACCTCGCCCGAGAGCACTCCCACCCCACAGCGCGCGGCCAGTGTCGGCACCCGCGAGGTCTCGACCATCTCGCGGGGGCGCCTGGCGCCCCCTGTTCGCGCCGACGTGGTGTCCCAGGTGTTGTCCACGAACCTGCGCCCGGTCGATGCCCAGGCCCAACGAGTCGCTCGTGGCCCGAGCATCGCAGCTGCGGCTGTGCAATGAGGTCAGGGAGGCGACGCAGGCCGGCTGATCGCGCCGACGCGGGTCGAAAGCGCGCGGCGCCAGGGGCGGCGCATTGCTCGGCGACAGCGTGCCAGACGGCTGTGAACGACGCGCCCAGGGTGACCTGGAGGTGCGTGATCGTCTCGTTTGGTGACTCTCCGTGGGTTTCCCACTGGGAGTCGTGGGCCCGGGCTTTATAGATCGGCCTTCCAGCGCGGGAGCCCCGTGGTCCTGGATGCCGGCGATCGGCGAACACCCTGGGCGTCCACCCACTTCCCGTCCGGCGCGGCAAGGATGCCCCCCGGTTGGGCTGCCGGTCCGTCTCGGCGGTCGAGCTCACGCCCCGCCCGAGAAGGGGGGGGCTGGAGCGCCTTGCAAGGATGCAGGGGTTGCCCCGTGGCTGCTCGTGGGCGCCCGCCCGCGTCGAGTCGTTGTCAGGGGAGGGAGGGCGAATGGGGGCGAAAGGGCTCCTCGAAACCAGCTGTAGGATGGCTTCGCTGTCCCGCTCGTCAGGGGAAGGCTGACGCGTGGGCGCGGTGGAACTTCCCAGTGCCGTCTGGAGGGTGGCTTCACTGGCGCGCAGGCCGTCGGGTTGGCCGTGGGATTGGGCGTCGGGCAAGGCCTCAGGTAGAGTGTTGGGTAGGGCGCCAGGTTGGGCGTCGGGGGCGGTGTCGGGTGAGGCGCCAGGCTGGTCGTGGGGATGTTCGTGGAGCTGGCCATGGGACTGGCCGCGGGGCTGGCTGTCAAGCTGGCCGTCAGGCAGGCCGTTGTGCTGGCGGTCGGACTGGCCGTCGGACTGGTCGCAGGGCTGGCAGTCGTATTGGCCGTGGGGCAGGCCGAGGGGCTGGTCGTGGGGCTGGCAGTCGGGCTGGCCGAAGGGCAGTCGGTCGGGCTGGCTGCGGGGCTGGCCGTGAAGCTGGTCGTGGGGTTGATGAAAGTCGGGCTGGCCGTGGGGCTGGCCGTGGGCCTGGTCATGGGGGAGGCCGCGGGGCTGGTCGTAGGGCTGGAAGTGGGGCTGGCCGTGGGACCGGCCGTGGGGCTGGCAGTCGGGCTGGCCGTCAGGCTGGCCGTGGGGCAGGCAGTCCGGTTGGCCGTAGGGCTGGCGGTGGGGCTGGCAGTCAGGCTTGCCCTGGGTCTGACAGTGGGGGCTGGCCGCTGGGCTGGCAGTCGGGCTGGCCCTGGGGCTGGCCGTCGGGCTGGCCGCCCGGCTGGCCGTGGGGCTGGCCGTGGGGCTGGCAGTCGGGCTGGCCGTCGGGCTGGCTGTGGGGCTGGCCGTGGGGCTGGCCGTGGGGCTGGCCGTGGGGCTGCCCAAGGGGCTGGCAATCGGGCTGGCCACAAGGCGGGCCAATGGGCTGGCCGTCAAGCGGGCCGTGGGGCTGGCAGCCGGCCAAGCAGTGGGGCTGGCAGTCGGGCTCACCGCGGGGCTGGTCGCCAGGCTGGCCGTGGGGTTGGCAATCGGGCTGGCCGTGGGGCTGGCAGTCGGGCTGGTCGTCCGGCTGGTGCAGGCCGCGGGCGGAGCCAGCGCAGCAGCGCAGGCGATGGCGGCCGACGCCTTGGCCGCAGAAGCGCCAACGGCGGCCGAGGCAGCGCCGGCGGCGGCGGCCGCGGCGGCCACGGCGAGGGCGGCGGCTGGCCCGGCCACAACGGCCCCGTCCAGGGAGGCGCCAGCGCCGCCAGCAGCGGCAGCAGGGCCTGTTGGGCCAGCGGCGGGCGCGGCCCCCCGCTGCCGGCGGCGGCGCGCCGAGCGCGACACCGCGGCGGCGGCGCCGCGAGGCGGCCCGGCCGCCGCAGCGGCGGCGGCCCGCGGGGCGACAGCGGCGCCCGCCATGGCGCGGGGAGGAGGGGGCGAGGAGGGCTCGGCTCGGCTGGAGCCCTTGAGCCAGGCTTGAGCCAAGGGCTATACGGGGCTTGAGCCAGCTACGGAAGCTGGTGGGGTTACTTTTTTGATCAGCGGCTCCAAGGACGATTCCAGAGAGCGGGTCGAAACAAGCTTGGGGGCTGGTGGGGTTACGCGAAGCGTCTAGAATACTCCTCCTTCACCTCCTCCTTCTCCTTCCCTCCCTCTCCCCCGGACCACCACGACCCCTCCGAGGCCGCCTGAACCCCCGCATCGTGAGCACACGGTCCCTCCCCTCACTCATTCCCCTCCTCGTCCTCCCCCCCGTTGTCCTCCTCCGCGGCGCTGTTTTTTCTGCTCCTCGGAGCCTCCAGCCTGGCTACGTTGACCAGGGCGAGGGGTCCTCACGCGGCCGCGTCGGCGGGTCTCTGGTCTGAGGCGCTGGGCGACGGCAGCGCCACCAGAGATCCTTGGTCGCCTACCACGCCGCCTCAATGGGGTCCATGGGAGGCTGGATGGCGGAGGCGGGCGGAGAGGAGCAGATGAGAAGCGGAGGCAGGGAAGATAGGGAGAGTGAAAGAGAGATAGAGAGAGAGCAGGAACAGGAGGTCACTGCCCATATAGAGGGAAGGGGTCAGGGGGATTGCAAGGAACATTGGGTGGGGGTGCGCATCCCCCAAAAGCACACCACACAGCGTCTGGGTCAGGCTCTATCTCTCTTGGCTTTCCGAGCTCGAGCGAGGGCCCGAGCCTCAGGAGGAACGGGGGGAGGGGGAAAAGGGAGAGGAGGACCAGAGAGGAGGACAGGAGCATGCAGTACGAGGGAAGCAAGGAAGATAGCTCTCTCTCTCTCTCTCTCGCTCGACGCTGGCATAATGCTCGGTGTGCTCAGCTAGCAGCGAAGGAGGGGAAAGTGGTGGAGAGGGAGAACGGAGGGGGCAGAGAGGGACGACGAGGAGGGATGAGGAAGGAGGAGCAGCAGGGAGGACCAAAGAGAAGGGAGGGAGGCAGAGGGAGGGGAAGGCCACCGCTGCTGACGACAGGCGGCAGCACGGGCGCGAATCACACCACCACTCTGGGCGCAAGTTGTTTAGGGCGAGGCCTATGGGGGGCGTCTTCGGGGCTTCTTGGTATCAAGGAGGAGGAGGAAGAAGACTGGACGCAATGCCAGAGCAACTATGGCAGGCCCACGTCGCGAATACGCCGGGTTCGGTTTCTGATACTGCGTGGATCGTTCAAACTTGAACGATCCCGGCTTCCCCAACGCGCAAATCATTCGACAACGGTCGATTCTGGGCCGCTGGATGCGTTCAGCCCGAACCACCCACGCAGGGGTCGCCGCCACGTCGACGCGGCGCGAACCCGCCGTGCGCATGACTCCCTACCAGACCACCTCAAGCTAACCCGAAGACCTCAATTTCGGGTTGGGGGGGGTACGGGTTTCACATGTGGGTTTTCAATGTTCCCCGACGCCCCCCCCCGCCGGGAATGGAGGGCATATTGGGGCCTTCGGGTTGGGTTGGGGTGGTTCGGTGAATGGTGAACGTAGGGCTCCTGAGCGGCGCATCCACCGCGCCCTCCCATGTCAGAGGCGCGTGCTGGCCAAGTCTGCCTCGCTCTCCGGGCTCAGGCCTCTGCGCGGCGGCAGTCAACCGGCCCGCGCGTCAAGCTCCTCCTCCTCCTAATTACTTCTCGCCCTGCTCCTGTGGCTCCTCTTTCTCCTCGTCCTCCTCCTCCTCCTCCTCCTCCTCCTCTTTCTCCCCGCACCGCACCCTGTGCGAAAGGCTACCCGCATCTTGTGGGGCTGATTCTTGTGAGGCACGCACGGGGCGCTGGTAAGAGAATGTGACTCTTACTCTTTCGACGCGAATCATCACAAGCCACCAGAAAGGCTATGACTGGGACTACACCAACAATCCTTCCTTCATCCTGCCTCCGCCGTTGCTTCGCATCTTTCTTGGCAAATGTTCTACCCTGGTGCTCCTGTTGTCTCCCAACTAATCCCGGCACCCCCTTTCAGCTGGTACGATGGGCTCTGGCCTATCAGCCCTAACACGGCGGCCATTCCCCTCAGGCCGGACTTGCTACAATCCCCAGCGATCCAGAACTGCTACACTTGTTACCTCCCTCATTCGGGAGGCTCACGCGTTGGCCCCTCATGCTCGGGCTTTGTTCCCACTCGTGCTCGGGATTCGGCTCGAATCCCTCAGCATTGACCCCTCGTGCTAGGCATTCGGCCCCTCATGCGCTGACCCCTCATACTGGGCTTTCGCTCGAAATTGTTGTCCCCTCGCGCTGGGGCTTTGGCCCCGCAACATGAACCCGCCTTCGTTGATTCCCCCGTGCTTGGGTGTTGGCCCCTCATGCGTTGTCCCTCGTGCCGGGGCTGTGCCCCCCAATGCTGTGACCACTCATGCAGGGATTTCGACCTCTTATGCGTTGTCTCCCATTGCTGGGGCGTTGCCCCTGGGTGTCACCCCCTCTTAGCTCATGGGTTCCCCCCCATGCTCGAGCGTTGACCTCTGAACTGGTCACCCGTGACGTTGGGACCGCCCCCCCTCCAAGCATTGACCCCCCGCGCCGTTGGTTTGACCTCCCATGCATTGACCTGCATACTGGGTCTACGACGCGCCGTGTGTTGATCCCTACGCTGCGGCTTTGCCCTGCGCCAATGGCTACCCGCGGCCTGTGCGGTTTGAATGTTGTGAGAGGCGCACGAGGCGCTGATAAGAAAATGCGCATCTCGCACTTTCGATGAACACACTCGCATTCACCCGCAAGGTTGGGACTGGGGCGACACTCGCAGTCGGGGCGACACTCGCAATCTTTCTTACATCCTGCCTTCCCCGTTGCTACCCCGTCCTCTTCTGCCATTTCGCTTGCCCAATGCATATGATGTCTCCCAGCTCATCCCGCTACCCTCACAGAGCTGTTGGGAAAAACCAAGGCTCGGGCTGCCTCCGCGCCCGCATCCGGCGGCACGGACCGCTACCCCTCACGCGGGATGAGGCCATGCCTGGGAGCGTTTCGTTCCCACCCTATGCGCCGTTGACATGCGTTTGCGGTCTCGGAGCCCTCTTGGGGCGTATTCGGCGCCTCTGGGAACCTTTCGGGGCCACTGGGGGTCCGTTTGCGGTCCTCTTGGGGGCCTTCTGGGGCCTTTTAGGGGTTTTCTTGGAAACCTTGGAAGCCATGTTGGAACCGTCTTAAAACAAATGATATCATTCGCGCTGCCACTCTTTGAAAGCCTGGGGCCTGTAGAATCGCCTCGCGACGCCCTTTTAAAAACGCCCTTGGAATATTCGTGGGGGCGCCTTGGGAACATGGTGCGCCTCTCTTGGGAGTGTATTGAGCGGCCCTGGAACCACAACTGAGCATCAGAGAACCATCGGAAGCGAAAGGTCATTGAGGCAACAACCCAAGGTTTCTTTTACACGCTGGAGGGTTTTGGAGGCTTCGGCGCCTTCTTAAGGGTTTCTTGGAAGCCGCACTTGGCTCTGCGGGCCTTTTTGACGCCATCTCGGGTAATCCTCAACGCACCTAACCAATCGCGGGGGGGCCCGTCCAGATCCAGAAGGACCCGACACGGGGACGACCACGTCCCATTCTCTGAAGGAAATGAAGGGGTTGGACGAGAAAACGCGCTAAACCAACCACGTCCAAAGAAGGCTCCAAACGACGTCCTGGGGCATCGATGGGCATCCAAGAGGCCTCTGGTCCATTGTTCGTCCCCCGCCTTCTTCTCATATGTTTACTTCTTACCCTGACGTTCCCTCCTCCGATACCTCCCCCGCCCTCCTCCTCATATGACAATATTTTGCCTGGGTGTTCGTCATCTCTGCGAGACGTTCTGATGATATATCATGGCCAATGGGCCCCGCAGATGACATGGGTAAGACGGGATAGTGCCGTCAAACCTGCACTAAAGTAACACTGAAAGGAGGAGGCCGGCCCGCCGGCCGACGCACGCGCGCGCGCCGCAGGCTCGCTCCTTTTCCGTTTCCCTAGAGCCAAAGTATATAGCTGCGGGAGCAGAAGAAGTCAGTCAGCACAGCAAACGGACAGCGCGTGCAAGGAGAGAGAGCAGGCAGGGCGGAATAATGGTGGCGCGGAAGGGGCGCATTGACTCCCCCCGCGGCGGGATCCGTAGAGCCGCCCCGGCCCCAAACCCACCTGGCCAGTACATATGAACAGCCACCGGAGCGAACCGAAAAGCATTTTGCCGCTGGACGGTGGATGCCAGGGGGCGGAAGGCCGACGAAGCCCGACGTTCCCCGCCTGAGCTAACATGACCAGCTCAGGACTCAATGCCCACGCACACCTGGTGCACCCGCTCCACGAAGTAGTGCGGACCAGTATCGACTTTGTCGCACTGGTTCTACGCGCAGCATCACCTTCTCCATCGACCTCTCCATTCACGAGAGTCATCCCAGGGATCGCTGTTACTCCAGCGCCACTGGTTCTGATCCCGGGAGGAGCTGTCCTCTTTTCTCCTCGAGCTCCAGCCACTTGGCTCACTCTTGCCATGGCCCTTCTCCGGCGGCCTCGCCTTCGGCGTGGGCGGCGGGAGAGGCGCCGCCAAGGTGCTTGGCGTCCCAGTGTCGCGCTGGAACTTGTCGCTGCACTCGCCCAAACTAAACCATTGCCGCG